AAAATGCTTAAAGGAATCTTCCACGGACCATGGACCAGTGGGCGGGACCGGAAGTTTTGTGACGAAATGCATGGTAGGTACGGATCCACGTGTCGAACGCACGAACGTGAACAGGATTCACTTCAAACCTTCCCATGAACGTGGATCCGTACCTACCATGCATTTCGTCGCAAAACCACTTCCGGTCCCGCCCACTGGTCCATGGTCCGTGGAAGATTCCTTTAACGCTTCCTCAACACTTCCCAGTCACCGAGTATTGCACCAGTCCCTTGAAAATAATGATAAAAGGATAAAGGATAAAGCATTTGCCGTTGATCAATCCCTTTTTGGGATGCGGCACGCATTCTACTTCCATTTGTACATTCGTAGTGGCGTTTGAATGCGATGTGGCCTATACAATGACTTGCGGGGGCCAGCCGATGTACAAGTCAGTGTTTTTATCCTCCCAGACAAGTCTGGTACCAATTAACCGACCCCGGAGGGATGGAAGGCTTGGTTGGCCCGGGCGACTCACGACCCAGATTTGATCCCCGGACCGCTCGCGTGGTGAGCGTGCCACTTGTCACTACACCACTTCCACCCGAAAATAACGATTAGCGGAGGAAAAAAGAATACAGAAAAGAGAAACGGTAGCAGGAATAACCGGTTCTTTGTTTACTACTGGAGAAGGGAAAGCAGAACAGGCCTTCTCCTTCTCTAAGAAAGTCACGAGGATCGATAAAATTGCAAGAACAATTTCTTGGTATGATTTCCTGGGTTCCATTAATCCACTTTTGCGCTGGAGCGCGCAATTAACTTGGAGTACGGAGTAGGCGTCCTTTAGACTGCGCGTCTGTCGCGTTGATCTCGGGGGTTGTCCAGAATCCTGCGACACTCTGTTCGAAATTTTTGGTTGCACCTTCTTTCGTTGAATGGGATATTCAATCACCGAAGTTATCACCGTAGCATGTAGGAGATGTGCCCTTTTCTGGGCAAATTCTCAGCTCTCTTACTTCAGAACTACTTACTTCTCACTTCTGGCGTTTGCTTTGAAAGGAAGCGGTTGATCTAGTTGTCGAATGACCTCAATAATTGGATTTTTTCTTTTAAAGGTAGCGCTCCGGTGTACTATTATGTAATACCAGTTTAGCTCCGCCCGCTACCGCGCGCATGACACGGAAGCCTCTGACAAAACTGACAATCGGTGAAGCTTTGGGTTTCACCGCTTAACTATAGCTGCTTCGTTAAATGCATTACTGTCCGTTGCCCATCTTGGCTGTATCTCACTGTTTGATAAGCGCAGTGAAGTGCACAGCTAAAGTGATGTATGTAAACAACCACCATGCATCGAGAATCGAGGAAATTTAGCGGTCGAATAATTTTTGGTAATCTCAAGACGGAATGCCCAGTATTCACTATCAAATTTATTAGAGCATCCCATTCATCCTCAAGAACTCTAGAAGGTGTAGCGGTTGAAAGGTGTTTGAATTTACAATTATAACGCTAATGAAATGATATTGAAATGAAATGCATTATCTGCAATCTGGTTTCGAGTAATCTCTACGTTCGTACGCATATCGTAATTATCAGTCCTCATCTGTCGTTATCACTTTTGACCCCCACAAAATATGTTCCCGTCCCACCCCCTATATCATATCTTGAAACCAACTCCTGACGACCACTGGTGCCCGAGCTATGAATTTCGCGACACTTGCGTTCTAGCGCCTTTTATCAGCCCTTATCAGTTGTGATCACTTTCTTTACCCCACCAAATATGTTCCCGTCCCACCCCCTATATCATATCTTGAAACCAACTCCTGACGACCACTGGTGCCCGAGCTATGAATTTCGCGACACTTGCGTTCTAGCGCCTTTTATCAGCCCTTATCAGTTGTGATCACTTTCTTTACCCCACCAAATATGTTCCCGTCCCACCCCCTATATCATATCTTGAAACCAACTCCTGACGACCACTGGTGCCCGAGCTATGAATTTCCGGTCAGACAGACAAACACATACACACACACACAGACACACACACACAACCGCTTAGCCGATTATATATAGTAGGATTCAGAACAACTAAGTCGGACGAGTAAGCCAAGCGCTTCAAAATTTCCCGATCAAAACCCACGACCTCTTTATATGTAAGCAGTTTGGCTGCGCACGCATTCGCGTGCATCACACGGGGGTTCAAACAGGATGATCACTATTCTTTTCTAGATTTTAGTTTTCTGTTCGGTACATCCCATTTACACCGACTATTAGGTCAAACTATATTTTCTATTTCCTACACCGCATTGAGCTACGTGTTTCAGACAGAATCGATCAAAAGACAGTACCCAATCTCTAGGTGCGAACGAAAACAACAATTCCAAGCGACGGCGGTTTTGGAGAGGGTCTTTTTTCGGGGCATGGTATATTTTTCAATTTTTGAGAAGTTTCTTAGTTGAGAAATTCTGTCTGTGGGCAATGTTGCCTCTCATTTACTGCAGAACTGCTGAGTAAGATTCCAAGGGACGACGGTTTCGGAGAGGGTCTTTCTTTCAAGACAGGGTTTTTTTCGGAAGGTGGTAAGGCTGAAAAATTGTGTCTGTAAGCAATGTTCTCGCTCTATTACTGCAGAGCTGCGGAGTGAGATTCCAAGGTACGACGGTTTCGGAGAGGGTCTTTCTTTCAAGACAGGGTTTTTTTCGGAAGGTGGTAAGGCTGAAAAATTATGTCTGTGACCAATGTTCTCTCTCTTTACTGCAGAGCTGCTGAGTGAGATTCCAAGGTACGACGGTTTCGGAGAGGGTCTTTCTTCCAAGACAGAGTTTTTTTCGTAAGGTTGCAAGGCTGAAAAATC